AAAAAAAAAAAAAAAAATGATTTATGATAGCACTCATGCACCCCAACCCGATTCTCCTCCAATTTTCCACCGCTTGAGCTCTCCAATACCTGGAAAGACGCCTGGAGGTGCTCCCGGCGATAATCCTCTGACGCTCAAGTCAGTAAAGGGTAGAGGAAAGTTGTATGTAATTGTAAGTAATATTAGAGCTTGTAGAGTGTGATTAACCTTTTCTTATGCGCCCCTTTACCTATTTACATGAAGTTGTTTAACTTTTTCCCTACGCCTTGATCTTCAGTCGTCCGATTACATGTCCCATTATGATCCTGACGCTACACGTGTCCGTCATAAGCTACTCTTCATAACTGCCTCATCTGCTCGGTCTGCAACCTACAACGAGCCTTTGAATTTAGTCGTTGTCGCACCAAACTCCTGCTAGGTCAGTCTTTTAGATAGCCGAGCTGCTTATCTAATCAACCTGCTCGGAGATGTGCATACCCGAGCTGCCAGCTATGCCGAGCTCCTAGGCTTACCGTTCGAGCTATTTCAGAGTCGAGCTACTTCTATGTTTAAATATAATATCGTTATCTAACTTATAATTTGAATTGTAAGAAATGGGGAGAAACCCAGATGAAGGCCAAGTTGGGTTTCATCCCAAAACCAATTGGTCGGAGGAGAAGTAGCTTATTAGGCTTATAAACTATTCCTATTTTCACTATATAAACGTTTTAGGACAACTCAAAGCTATTTTCCCTATACAACCGTTGTGAGAAAATCAAAAGTGATATTCTAACACGCTCCATCACTTGTGAGTCCTTCATAAGTGCCCAAACCCATATACGGAGTCGGGCGCTCAAGCCCTACTAGAAACAGGCTGTAAGCGGCGAAGCCTAGACGAAGCCCAAATGAGATCCCATCTAAAAACCAATTGGTGGAAGGAGAAGTAACCCATTAGACTTATAAATTAGGCCAAATTTTTCTATATAAACGATATGAGACAACTCACAAGTGATATTCTAACATTAATATTATATGCATACAAATAACTTATAATACTTTATTTACATCCGTAGAAATGCGCATGGTTAAATACTAATAGGCAGTTAAAAGTGAGGACACTGCACATGTGACATGCATTAATAAACAATGTAAATATGGCTCCTCAATTAAGTTGTTAATTATTTGGATAACATAAACTAAGGCTGGTTTATTTGATAACGTTTATTAAATTTTGCCTTATTAAATTTTGGTTTTCTGCAGATCATTGAAATGCATTATGCCAGTGATCATCTGCACCTGCAACTGCCAATCTGTGATCACAGGCTAATGTTACTGTCCGTTTATCTTAAGGGTCCTCAAACTTACAAATATTTCAAATTTGACCCCAGAACAGAACAAGAAGCATAAAACCACTCACCCAAATGTTTCTACTTTCTCCCAAGAATCACCAACGAAACCAAAACTCAAAAGTCCAAAGTTGCAGATTCAAGCCCCAAAATCCAACAAACAAAACTCACAAGCAAAATAACACAGCAAGACAATAGTCGAACCGAAGCATCACACGATCTACTTATGCAAACCCAGACCAATGCAAAACCAGGCAAAAATGAGCTATATACGTTATTCGATGATCCAAAATCAGAAGATGCAACCTGAATGATGAAAGAAGCAAAGATGCAGACCAAACGAACGGGTTCTATAAGAAAGAATATATAATAAACTCGGTGTTAATTCAACTCGTGATACAATGTCGTTATGGGGTGCCTAACCTCTACAGAAAAACCTACTCGACTGCACAGTCCCGCAGCTAACCCCTCGTACTCTAAAAACTTACAGAGTATCAGCTTCGAGGTCATTCAGAAACCCAGAGAGAAAATATAAAAGTGATATACAAATGGAATAAGAAAGCAGTTAGTCCTAAATGAACAGAGATATGTCATGTATATTACACAAGCTAGTCAAAAAAGTTCATTTCTCCTTTCCTTTTTGTTTCAAAGAACCCTACTACCTCTATATGTGACCATCAGCTTTCAAAAAAAAAAAAAGGCCTCACACGGCCATGTCCAAATCCAAATCTAAATCACTCCACCAGAAATTATTATCTTCCTGCCTCCCAGGCTTTAAGAAATCCAAATCATAATCATAAACCGAAAGCTCTCGAGTCGGATTACCATTCGATCCCTCGTGTCGATCCCCCAATTGGGCTGATATAAGACTGCCATTTGTAGCCCGGCCCATTTCTCCACCACTCGATCCTCCCCAACCTTCAAAACCCGATTCCCTTTCTTGAGAAGAAGAGTTCAACTCGGCAAGCAGCTCGTCGACATCAAACATCTCTTCGTTTTGGAAGCTCGCCGATTGATTTCTCAAGGTCTCCCGATTTTTAAAACAATGTCCATTATCTGGTATAGCCTTGTTGAAGTCTATATTTACCTCTTTCCTGAATTCTTCTTCCGCATTATCCTTAAGAAGGGGAATTTCCTCCCCAACTACTTCCTTTTTGACGATAGCCCATTGATCATCACCAAGCTCTTGAGGTATCGGTTGATTATTATGGGTAAACTTTGATAGCCCTTCATTATCATCCGTTTCTGTATTGTGTTCGGGTTTCTTTGGGACACCCCCATTAGGACAAATCTCTGAAATACCCGAGTTTGCAGAGTCCGATGATGATTTTGCAGTAACTGGAAAAGAATCTTTGACATCCTCTCTCAACGGGAAATTAAGACGAGCGCACGGGCCGTACATGGCGCGTGCAGCCTCGTCATAAGCACGCGCAGCCTCGGGTGCACTGCTGAACGTCCCGAGCCATAATCTGTTCCCTCTGTGTGGCTCTCTAATCTCGGCCACCCATTTTCCCCAAGTCCTCTGCCGGACCCCTCTGTAATTGCAGCGGGCATTATCTGGCCCACCTTTGCCTTTCATACATCCCTTTTTGGATCCCTTGGCGGGAACTTTCCGGAAGGGTTTGCTGCCCGGGTCGAGATTCATGTTGTACTCTTTCCACTTCTCGAGAATTTGGGCTACGCTAAGGTCACCAGTCTTTCGGCATCTTGAATTAATCTTTCTCGTTATATCCATTGGTTCAGGAGTCGGTATAGAATCTATTTGATCTAGCACAGCCATTTTAGTATCCCTGTGTGCCAGAATACAAAACAAACCCAAGTTAGCTACCAAAGTTTGAGGAATGCAGATTTGAAGAAGGTAATCGGTCAATCGAAACGAACTAACCAAAACAAATCGAGATAAAGCATGTGACACAGATGAGGTTCAAAAGTTCTCATCTTTTTCCTAATACAGGTGATCAAGATTTGTAATCTGACAGTACCCCAGACAAGAGAGTTGAGCTATTTCAATAACTCAATTCCTTCAGAAACTTATATGTGTAAACATAACTTGGGGGCTACAGAGATCTAATTCTAACCCACCTCTAACAAAACTAATAAAACCCCTGGCTCAGAGAGACTTGTAAAGCACTTGGAAAGCATATTTTGATTCTTCCCACCACAACCCTCTCACCCCCACAGCCAAAAAAACAGAGACAAAAGCAGATACAACAAATCAAACCCAAATTTCACATATTTTTCAACAACACAGAAAACCCAAAACCCCAAATCGAATCAATTAGCTCGACGAAGAAGAACAATAACCAGCGCCCAAATCGCCCAACTCAAAAGGGCATATCAAGAAACCTAAACAAAACCCCAACATAAGAGAATCATTAAAAATCACGGACAACTACACATACCTCCGGCCAAACTCCGCAGATCTTGCACACTCTCCACCAAGATTCCAACTTTATCCACTTATCAACAACTATTCACTCGATTTGCGCGACTGTTTATTACCTTGCGAGCGAGCAGTGTTTGAAGGAAGAAAAATCTTGGATTAGGAAAAGCCGGCGCCTATTAATAGCCTTCTTCCAGATATTTCCCCGAATTTTAATTTATTGATTTATTGCATAAATCGAGATTTTTCTACTGGTTTTTTTGGTGACGTGGCGACGCGTACACCGAAGATCTTGGCACGTGTCATATGAAGCTTCCCGAACCACACGATTTTTGCGATGGGAAGGGGGGGCTTGGGATTGTGTGCCACTGTGCGTGTGCGTATTGTTTGTTTTTCCTTGGGAGCTAAGCAATGGTCTCTCTCTGTAAATCTCTTTGCTATTTAGTTTTTGACCCCATAAATTTAGTCAAAATCCGCATGTGCCCCTGGTTTCTATGTTATTACTTATTACTTGTCCATTACAATTTGCTATATACAATATACTTTTACAGACAGATTTATTTATTTAATTAAAAATAAAAAAACAACTGGACAAAAACAAAAGAAAAAAAAAAGCGGAACAAAATCAAACACACGTATTTCAAAAATATGTTTTTAATTACTTTTAATTGTAAAACGTATTTCGCTAATACGTTTTACAGGTAAAAACGTATTTCCTTAATACGTATTCGTAAAAAATGATTAAAGAACTTAATTAACATAATTAAATTAAGTTAAAACGCATAACCAAAATACGTTTTAAAAAAACCTGTATAATAGTAATACGTTTTATAATTAAAAATAATTTTAAATAAATTTTTTAATTATAAAACGCATTCCGTAAATGCGTTTTTAAAATAAAAATAATTTTATAATTTCTAAAAATAATATTTTTCGGGAAAAAATATTTTCAATTATAAAACGTATTTGGATAATACGTTTTTGGTTAAAAAATTAATTTTTCCCCAAATTTAATTTTGCCCTAATTCAATTTTGCTTTAAATATCAATTTGAATATAATCCGTATTCCAGGAATACGTTTTTGTAATAAAATAAAATAAAAACCGTATTCTGTAAATACGTTTTAATCTGTAGAAAAAAAAAATGGCATTCATTTTTTAAACGAAATAAACCGGAACTTGTTCAATATCTCATAACGAAATAAACTTGTTCAACCAAATAAACCTGCTCAACCAACTAATACCAATCAATTCACCAAATAATAATCCAACATACATTATATAAAAAAAGATGAACCACAATAGTTTATTAAAAAAATACTACATACCAAAAAGGTCAAAATAAAGTTTATACATACAAAACAATCCGGGTTTCATTCATACAACATAAACTAACACAAACTAACTACGAAGAAGTAAAGGGATCCCTAGGTTTGCGCACTCGGGACCCCTTCCGAACCTTTGGCCGTGAAGAAGACGAGGGTGTAAGGGTCTGTGTGAGATCTTCGGAATCCGACTCATTCTCTTCATCTGAGTCTTCTTCACCTAAGTAATTAATTTAGTAAAAAAATCACAAATTGGACTTGAGAAAAATAAAAAGTCAAAAATAAAAGTAAAAAAAAAATTATCTTTATGTTAACTAAATAAATCTCACGTTGTTCAAGCTCGGGATTCTCAGGTTCTTCAGACTTTGGGGACGGTTGATTGGTTGGGGGGCCCGAGATCTTCTACCTCCACCAATGTTGGGGGCGGGTCGATGCCTCGCGACGTGGGACTGTGTCCTCTGGGATGGAAGTACTCGTCTTGGGATAGAATTTGACTTGACTGCGCCATTTGTGGAATAGCTTGGCCTCCAACAGTCAGATAAGTATTGGCAAAGTTGTATGACTGTTGGAATGCGGTCTGCACCTCTGGATGGAGTGTAGGCATCAAGTGTTGAATACTCTCTATCGAGTTATAGCTGCCCTCCATGCCAGAAGACTGAAAATAAAATTAAAAGTAATTAGTATGAAACACAAAAAAAAAAAATAATAATAATAATAAAACCACAAATTATATACACTTACCCCGCACGCTAACCGCTCGGCAAATGGCTGATAGCCGCCTGCCTGTTGGAACGCCTGGTAATTACCAGGGTTAATGAGTAGTCCCACAGTCTTACTGTGAAACCAATCAATGTAACCTTGGTCTGGCTGCAGGAAGTCATACACAGGGGCAAGTTGGAGGAGATTTTTTTCTCTTTCTTCCCAGGTCAAGGTGAGCGGTGAATGATAGTCAGCCTAATCAAGGAATGCCCTCCCAGTCATTCCTTGGCCGGCGTGGTGTCTGGCCCAGTCCCGCTCACACATAATGATCAGATCTTGGGGGATGGACTGGCGACACCCAAATTGTCGGAGTACTCTATCAGGCAAGTGTAGCTCACGTGTGCTCCAACAGAAGATCCACCCCCGGTACATCCAAAATTGTGGACCTTCTATGCACTCACCCGGGAGAGTACCATCTTGCAGGTACTGTTGATAGGGCATCCAAATGAACTGTAAAAAAAAAATAGGAATTAAGAAACAAAAAAAATTATAAACAAAAAAAGAAAGAAGGATGAATTAATAATTAAGACTTAAGAATCTTACATCTGTCTCTCGCAGTCCTGTCAACTGATCTCGGATCGCGGTCATTCCCTTGCCTACATCTTTTAGACTTTTCCCTCCCACCCACCTTAAAAATGACAGAAAAAAAAGTTTGTAATCACAAATTTCGATAATGGAAATAACTTATGTATTAAATATAAATAAATCTTATTACCTGGCACCCAAGGTACACCACCTATCAAATCAAACTGTCTGGACTTCATTGTTGGGCGAATACGAGGGATACGCTCCCACGCCCAAACCTAGACATATGGACGTATGCATTTGTTACTAAATATTAGTCTCAATTATAATAAAAAATAATGAATTTCAAAGAAGAAGAAAATAAACTTACCTGGATCAATTGCACACAACTCTTGATCCATTGTGCTCCAACCTCGTAGGCAGTGCACAACACTCTATATACAGCTGCTAGGAGCGCTGAACCCCAGTTGTAGCCCTTAATCCCGTCTATGTCCTCCAGCAATTGCAGCCAATAAAGATTCACGCCATTTCCCCGATGGTCGGGAAGAAAAAGGAGCCGAGGCACCACAGGATAAGGGCCCTCGCCCTCTGCTCGTAGCGTATGGCCGAAAGTCCATCTCGCAGAACTTTGATGCATTCCTTTTCTAATCCCAAAGCCTTCATAAATTGGCCTTTAATGGCCCAACCAGCGGGCTTGTAAGCCGCTTTCTCTTCCGGAATGTTGGGGGGATCCTGACAGTGGTTTTTATATATATTAAAAACGATATAATTGAATGGACATGCATTTAAAAAAAAAGGAAAAAATATACCTGGACATCGGGCCGAAACCCTAACAAGTTCTTGCACCTATCACGCTATTGTACCGGTGTTAGGTCCACCGTCACTCCTAAACAAGCAACTCCATCGACCGGTAGACCGAACATGACTTGTACATCCTGCAGAGTGATGGTCGCCTCCCCGAAATCGAAATGAAAGGTGTGCATCTCCGGACGCCACCTTTCGAGCAGACCGGTAATGACGGCGTTATCGGTTTGGACTCGGCCCATTCGAAACAAGGGCCCGAAACTGGTCCGCTCGATCACCTCCCAAACCGACGGATGCTGCTTTGGCAAAGCCTTCCAGAACTGAGTGTCGTAGCGGCAGTTTGTAACCGTGTCGCTACGAGTTCCCAGTTGATTATTATAAACCGCCCATGCTCCGTGTTTGTATTGAAGATATAGAAATTTGGGATCCCTCGGTCCAGGGTGTACACCGTATCTCTGAGGCTGGGATGACGATGATGAAGCCATTATCTACAATTACAAAAAAAAATATATGCACAATGAATTCCAATAAGAAATGAAATTAATGGATAAATTGTTACGGCGTAAAAAATAAACAATCAAACGATCATAAATTAATTGTTTGGACTATGCACTATCAACCAGAATATTGTAGCCCATCATGATCAAAAATAAGAAGAAAACAATACCACATTAGTGATTAATCCTCTAAACTAAGCGCTAAAAGTAGCTTCCCAGACCAATTTCATGTAACAGAACAAATAATAAATCGGTAGCCCAAATGTGTAAGAAGAGCACAACACCAAAAACGTAAAACCCACAATACAGACATCATTGAGATCATTTAGACAACATGATAAAGACACCATCATGAATCAAGTACCTCTTGCAGCTTGCAGGATGATCTATGCCTTCATGTTCTCATTCAGTCTCAATTATTAGCAACATAATTTAGGAGTCTATTCCACAAGTTATAATTGAAATCCCTCCATGACCCAGCATGAATC